GACGTGGTTTTAACAGGCATGGGTCAGACAATGGCAAACAGGTATATCGAAGGCAAGGCAAGAATAATCCTAGGGCTAGCGAAGGTCAACGAACGGCGAACAGAATCAAAAGGGCAAGACTAAAGGGATAAATCCAGGAAAACAGGCAAAGATCAGAAACCGAGAAAACAGACAAGGCAAGGCAAGACTAGGCTAGGCTAGGAAGCTAATGAGGGCTCTGTAGAGTAGCTATCACTGCTGGCGATAAGCGCATACAATACTCGGCCGTTAGAAGGAGTGAGATGGAGTGTTAAATAGTGAGTGAGTGATATGAAACAGCTGTGTGCAATCAGTGCAATGAATAATGGGATATGTAGTCCGGGGTGATATGCAACAGTGTGTAGTGCGAGAGTCATTGAAAATGGAAAGGTGACCTCTGATGGCTAGCAGACAGAAGTTCATAGACTGGATACATAACAGGAACCTAGGTGTGCTATTTGATAGCAATCTTTCGTTAGAAAGCCACGTTTCTAGCATTTGTAAAACTGCATTTTTCCATCTCAAAAATATATCTAAATTACGACCTATTCTCTCAATGTCAAATGCAGAAATGTTAATCCATGCGTTTATGACCTCAAGGTTAGATTATTGTAATGCTTTATTGGGTGGGTGTTCTGCACGCTTAATAAACAAACACCAACTGGTCCAAAATGCAGCAGCTAGAGTTCTTAATAGAACTTTTTATAATTGTATACTGGTATTTTATTATAGGCCTAGGTATTTTAACCATTCTCTTATTAAAGGAAAAATTATGAAGATTACTGAACAACAAAACTGGACATCTAGTGAAATTAGTTAATGATTTTCAGCTATGATTTATAATTCACAAATCAGCTTACCTTATGAAAGCTTATTTGTCGATCTCAGCAACTTCCCAACACCACTATCACCAAATAACGTTGCATGATATACCATCAAGGTTCAATGCAGCTTAAAACAAGCTTACCTCTTTCCAGCTGTTCGCAGAAAAAATACATGATACAACATTTGTATTTCAGTGGATGTATGTCAAGCAATTAAATTAAAACCAGTGCAATATTTTTCTCTGTAATTACTGTGCCAATATACACTTGTTCTACGTTTAAACCCAACTTGTTCCTCCCTTATTCCATGAAATTACAGTGTAAATACAACAGTTGTGGGCTGTAAATTAAAGTGGTGCTTGTTCCCCCCTTATTCCATGTAGATACAGGATAAATACAACATTTGGGGGCAGTAAACTAAAGTGGTGCTTGTTCCCCCCTTATTTCATGTAGTTACAGGGTATATACAACAGTTGCGTGCTGTAAACTAAAGTGATGCTTGTTCCCCCCTTAGTCCATGTAGTTACAGGGTAAATACAACATCTGGGGGCAGTATACTAAAGTGGAGCTTGTTCCCCCCTTATTTCATGTAGTTACAGGGTATATACAACAGTTGCGTGCTGTAAACTAAAGTGATGCTTGTTCCCCCCTTAGTCCCCTTAGTCCAAGGGTAAATACAACATCTGGGGGCAGTAAACTAAAGTGGTGCTTGTTCCCCCCTTATTTCCCTTATTTCAAGGGTAAATACAACA